CCCCCCCCGGAAGTTCCCGGAGTGGGGGTGGGGGAGGGGCGGGGGGGGGCAAAGGGCGCGCGGGGCCGGTGGGGGGAGGGGAACGGCCGCTAATTAGTGAGTTTGGGGTTAATTTGCCGCTAATTACTGAGTTTGGGGTTAATTTGGGCGGTAATGAAGGGGTGCGGGGTTAATTAGGGGGGGTGGGGGGCGTTAATTAAGGGGTGATTAGGGCGGGGGAGGTAATTGGGGGGGTTAATTAGGGGCGGGATGGGGTTAATTAGGGGGGTTTGGGGGTTAATTAGGTGAATTTAGGTGTTAATTAGAGGGGTTGTGGGTTAATTAGGGCGGTGTGCAGGTTAATTAGGGGGATTTGAAGTTAATTAGTGCGGTTCGGGGGTTAATTAGGGCGGTTTGGGGTTAATTAGGGCGTTTTGCGGTTAATTAGTGCGGTTTGGGGGGTTAATTAGGGGCGGGTTGGGGTTAATTAGGGGGATTTGGGGGTTAATTAGGGCGGCTTGGGGTTAATTAGGGGGATTTGAAGTTAATTAATGCGGTGTGCAGGTTAATTAGTGCGGTGTGCAGGTTAATTAGGGCAGTTTGGGGCTTAATTAGTGCGCTTTGGGGGTTAATTAGGGGCGGTGTGCGGGTTAATTAGGTGAATTTAGGTGTTAATTAGAGGGGTTTGGGTTAATTAGGGGGATTTTCGGGTTAATTAGGGGATTGGAGGTAAGTTAGGGCGGTGTGCAGGTTAATTAGGACGGTTTGGGGGTTAATGAGCACTAATTAATTGGTGTTAATTAGCACTAATTGCTGCCCCCAGGCCATGGCGGAGCAGCCGCAGCCCCGGCGGGTCGGGATCCTGGGATACGGAAAACTGGGTACGGGGAACTGGGGGAACTGGGATGGACTGGGATGGACTGGGATGGACTGGGATGGACTGGGGGGAACTGGGATTGAACTGGGATTGAACTGGGATTGAACTGGGATGGACTGGGATGGACTGGGATTGAACTGGGAGGGACTGGGATGGACTGGGATGGACTGGGATGGACTGGGATTGAACTGGGATGGACTGGGATGGACTGGGATGGACTGGGATTGAACTGGGATTGAACTGGGATGGACTGGGATTGAACTGGGAGGGACTGGGATGGACTGGGATGGACTGGGATTGAACTGGGATGGACTGGGATGGACTGGGATTGAACTGGGATTGAACTGGGATGGACTGGGATTGAACTGGGAGGGACTGGGATGGACTGGGATGGACTGGGATTGAACTGGGATGGACTGGGATGGACTGGGATTGAACTGGGATTGAACTGGGATGGACTGGGATTGAACTGGGAGGGACTGGGATGGACTGGGATGGACTGGGATTGAACTGGGATGGACTGGGATGGACTGGGATGGACTGGGATTGAACTGGGATTGAACTGGGATGGACTGGGATTGAACTGGGAGGGACTGGGATGGACTGGGATTGAACTGGGATGGACTGGGATGGACTGGGATTGAACTGGGATTGAACTGAGATTGAACTGGGATTGAACTGGGATTGAACTGGGATGGACTGGGATTGAACTGGGATTAAACTGGGGGGAACTGGCCCATACTGGAAGGGACTGGGATGGGACACTGGGGACACTGGGAGGGACTGGGACGGTCCCCGGGGGTGACACAGGGGAGGTGACACAGGAGGTGACAGAAGGTGACAGGAGGTGACACAGGAGGTGACACAGGGTGACAGGAGGTGACAGGAGGTGACAGGAGGTGACACAGGAGGTGACACAGGGGAGGTGACACAGGGAGGTGACACAGGAGGTGACACAGGAGGTGACAGAAGGTGACACAGGAGGTGACACAGGGGAGGTGACACAGGAGGTGACACAGGAGGTGACACACGATGTCCCCAATGTCCCCAGGACAGTTTTTGGTGTCCCAGCTCCTGTCCCAGGGGCCCCCCCTGGGGCTGTCCCTGGCCTTTGTCTGGGCCCGGCGCGGGGGGGCCCTGGAGCCGCTGCCCCCCGCCCTGCGCCTCGCGGACCTGCGGCAGCTGCCCGCCACGTGAGACACCCCAAAACACCCAGAATCACCCCAAAACCGCCCGAAATCACCCCAAAACACCCAGAATCAACCCAAAACCGCCCAGAATCACCCCAAAACACCCAGAATCACCCCAAAATCGCCCAGAATCACCCCAAAACCGCCCAGAATCACCCCAAAACCGCCCAGAATCACCCCGAAACTGCCCAGAATCACCCCAAAAACACCCAAAATCACCCCGAAACACCCAGAATCACCCCGAAACCGCCCAGAATCACCCCAAAACACCCAAAATCAACCCAAAACACCCAAAATCACCCCAAAACTACCCAAAATCACCCCAAAACACCCAGAATCACCCCAAAACACCCAAAATCACCCCGAAACCGCCCAGAATCACCCCAAAACACCCAGAATCACCCCAAAACACCCAGAATCACCCCAAAACACCCAAAATCACCCCAAAACACCCAAAATCAACCCAAAACACCCAAAATCACCCCAAAACTACCCAAAATCACCCCAAAACACCCAGAATCACCCCAAAACACCCAAAATCACCCCGAAACCGCCCAGAATCACCCCAAAACACCCAGAATCACCCCAAAACACCCAGAATCACCCCAAAACACCCAAAATCACCCCAAAACACCCAAAATCAACCCAAAACACCCAAAATCACCCCAAAACTACCCAAAATCACCCCAAAACACCCAGAATCACCCCAAAACCGCCCAGAATCACCCCAAAACACCCAGAATCACCCCGAAACTGCCCAGAATCACCCCAAAACCACCCAAAATCACCCCAAAACACCCAAAATCACCCCGAAACACCCAAAATCACCCCGAAACCGCCCAGAATCACCCCAAAACACCCAAAATCACCCCAAAACCGCCCAAAATCAACCCAAAACACCCAAAATCACCCCAAAACACCCAAAATCACCCTGAAACACCCAGAATCACCCCAAAACACCCAAAATCACCCCGAAACCGCCCAAAATCACCCCGAAACCGCCCAGAATCACCCCGAAACACCCAAAATCACCCCAAAACACCCAAAATCACCCTGAAACACCCAAAATCACCCCGAAACCGCCCAGAATCACCCCAAAACACCCAAAATCACCCCAAAACCGCCCAAATTCACCCCGAAACCGCCCAGAATCACCCCGAAACCGCCCAGAATCACCCCAAAACACCCAGAATCACCCCAAAACACCCAAAATCACCCCGAAACCGCCCAAAATCACCCCGAAACCGCCCAAAATCACCCCAAAACCGCCCAGAATCACCCCGAAACACCCAAAATCACCCCAAAACTGCCAAATTCACCCCGAAACACCCAAAATCACCCCGAAACCGCCCAGAATCACCCCGAAACACCCAGAATCACCCCGAAACCGCCCAAATTCACCCCAAAACACCCAAATTCACCCCGAAACACCCAAAATCACCCCGAAACACCCAGAATCACCCCAAAATGGCCAAATTCACCCCAAATGTCCCCAAACCCCCAGTGTTTTCTCCGTGTCCCCAATGTCCCCAATGTCCCCAATGTCCCCAATGTCCCTGTGTCCCCAATGTCCCCAATGTCCCCATGTCCCCAATGCTGTCCCAATGTCCCCAATGTCCCTGTGTCCCCAATGCTGTCCCCAATGTCCCTGTGTCCCCATGTCCCCAATGTCCCCATGTCCCCAACGCTGTCCCCATGTCCCCAGCGGGGTGCACCTGGTGGTGGAGGTGGCCCATCCGTGCGTGGTCCAGGAGCACGGCGAGGACATCCTGCAGCACGCGGACCTGATGGTGACACCTCGGGGACACCTCGGGGACACCTCGGGGACACCGCGGGGACACCTCGGGGACACCTCGGGGACACCGCGGGGACACCGCGGGGACACCTCGGGGACACCTCGGGGACACCGCGAGGGGGGGGCCGGGGTCACCCGTACAGCGTCCCCAATGTCCCCAGCACCCTCGATGTCCCCCGATGTCCCCAATCCCACCCAGTGTCCCCAATCCCACCCAATGTCCCCAATGTCCCCAGCACCTTCGATGTCCCCTGATGTCCCCAATCCCACCCAATGTCCCCAATGTCCCCAGCACCCTCGATGTCCCCTGATGTCCCCAATCCCACCCAGTGTCCCCAGTGTCCCCATTGACCCCAATACCAGTGTCCCCGATGTCCCCAGCCCCTGCCCATGTCCCCGATGTTGTCCCCATGATGTCCCCTTTTGTCCCGTCATGTCCCCATGTCCCAGCTGGGGTCTCCAGTGGTCCTCATGTCCCCGGTGATGTCCCCTGATGTCCCCAGTGATGTCCCCTGATGTCCCCATGTCCCTGATGATGTCCCCCAATGATATCCCATGATGTCCCCATGCTGTCCCCATGTCCCCAGTGCTGTCCCCATGTCCCCATGATGTCCCCGATGATATCCCATGATGTCCCCATGTCCCCGATGATGTCCCCATGTCCCCACGATGTCCCCGATGATATCCCATGATGTCCCCATGTCCCTGATGATGTCCCTGATGATGTCCCCATGTCCCCGATGATGTCCCCATGTCCCCACGATGTCCCCATGTCCCTGACGATGTCCCCATGTCCCCGATGATGTCCCCATGTCCCTGATGATGTCCCTGATGATGTCCCCATGTCCCTGATGATGTCCCCATGTCCCCGATGATGTCCCCAATGCTGTCCCCGTGTCCCCAGGTGGGGTCCCCGTCGGCGCTGGCGGACGCGGACACCGAGCGGCGGCTCCGGGCCGCGGTGGCGCGGGGGGGCCACACCCTGTACGTGCCCAGGGGGGCCCTGTGGGGCTGCGAGGACATCGCCAGGCTGGACCGCGCGGGGACACTGCAGGTGACACTGGTGACATTGGGGACATT